GGGGGATCTCACTCTGTCTCTTTATGCATCATCCTCCTGGCCTTGACTTACTCTTGTGTTTTGGTCACTGTGGCCACCCATACACAAAGGCCATGACTAACGGTGCCTTCACACAGCGATGAACCCCGATAACATTTCTCAGAGGGATCCCTGTCATTAAGTGGCACAGCACTGCGTGTCCTTGGGGCATTCGTTATTTAAGGTTTAGGAAGGTGTCTCATGACTTTGAGCTCTTTCTTGGTGGCAGATTTTACATCCTGGGAGGTTGGTTAGTGCCACCACAGTCCTAGTTGAGTGACACCATCTTTTTCCCACCCACAGTGACTTTAAGGGTCAATTTTTGTACATGATTTACACAGGAAATCTGCAAGTCCTGACACAGGCCTGGTCTCTCAATCTCCTGTTTTCTCTTTTCTGTCCCATTCCCCTCATCTCTGTCTTCACAGGTCTCAGATCTTTTTCCAAGACCAGCCAGAAATGATGGAGTGCCAGGTAAGCGAGACATTAAGCAACTTGCTTTCTGTTCTTGGGGAAACCAAGAAAAATTCTGAGAAAAAAACACCGGTAATTTCAGCACAGGGGCTTTGTCATAGCCTGGGTCTCAGGAGCACAGATTCGAGGTAGAGATCTGCTCACAGAGGTTTCCTGGGGGGACCCTGGGAACACCTGTCAGGAGAGAAGGAATTGGGATAGGCAGGGGTAGTTGATGGGGATAGACAGGGGTAGTTGATGAACAGCTGAATATGTTAGGGAGCTGGGGCGGCCCTCAGTGCTGGCCAGAGCGGAGCCACAGAGGCCCATGAGTCTGACATCAACAAGTCATCTGCCCTAGGGTGAGGACATGCCCTGGTAGAGTCTCAAAAAGGTCTCCCGCCTGCAGCAGCCCATCTTCTGCTTGCAGCTGGGAGCACTCTGGTGCTGCTGAAGAAATTTGATTGTGACACCACTGCCTCTCCTCCATATGTAGATTCAGTGACGGGACACTTAAAACATATTGCTCTGTCCTTTTGGTGGGCGGGAGGGAGTGTGAGGGAAGTTGTTTCAATTAAAATATCCTAGAGATTGCACCACATTAGTATTCTGACCACACCATTTTGCTACAGCCTGCACACAAAGCCCCATCATGTGCATGGAATGTGACTGAGCTAGTACCCCATTTTGTGGACATTCAGTTTCCACTTTGATGGCGCAAGCAGAGATGCAGGGCACATTCTATGTCAGAACACAGAGGTACAAAGTGTAGTCCAAAGAGTCACTTCCTGTGATCTTTGGTGGCCCAGCAAGAAGGCCTTTAGCACTGTGCACAGAAGCAGCGCGTTGGTACCTCACAGAGCGCAGGCTTTCACGGCACCTCATTCAATGTAGACATCCCCCCAAGGAAACGC